ATAACGTGTAGAGATACCTATACTAATTATTACGGTCATAATATGAATTCTTAAAACTAGTGTTTCGTTTAACTAAGGGTAATTTGTATAGAGATATGGAATTGAATTAGTTAAATAGGTTCAATGAGAACTCGAGAAGGGTAAATTGAATACAATAGAAGAATTCGATCGAAGGGTACATTAGGTTGTGAATCTTGAAGTAAGAATAAAGGTGATCAATAGATGAAATTGTTATTCCCTAATATTCATGACATATTTGTTTCTCCAATTATCCGTTATTTGCAATATTTTTATATTTGTTAAAAGTAGTTTTGTCAAAATCATCATAATTATTTACTTGCTTTTGTCAAATAGGAATTAGAAAAAAGTAGATTAAGATTAAAGTATAGTACTCGTGGGAACGATAATCCGGACTCAAAGGTCCATTATATTACTTGTTACGATATCGTACACTTGCGATATAAAAAACGCAACAGTACCAGAAGATTGGTTGGGAGAACTAAGAGTCCGTTTGATAGACAAATGTGGAAATGAATTCAAATTCTATGTTAGTTGAAAAATAAAAACCAACCAAACCCATAAGAATTCGTTTTTTTTCCATGAAAACAAATAAAATGCAACTTAAAGTGGTTGTATCTTGGAATTCAATTTCCATTTTTACATTGCAATCAAACGGCCAAAATAGAATCGTTTTTCTCGAATGTGACATTTTCCATGGAATTCGTTGCAATCAAACATTGCATATCATTCATTTCACGATGAGGATAATTCAAACTTGATCCTTAGCTAGGTAGAATACTGTTTCTCATCTTTTATAAGATGTGATTATGTTAGATGTATAGGTATAGTCGTATAGATAGGATTTATATGCTACATAATCAGTTACTATGCCGAAGATGATTTAAAAAACAAAATTGGTTGATAGTTCAAACTTTTAGATAAGATAGTTAACAGTGTTAACCTTAAAAAGTGGAAGCCAACAAATCCTCAATAACCACTTTTCTTAGTTATCCCTCTATTACCTTTCTTTAACCATCGGAGCTCCAATGAGGAGTTTTCTAGTGGCGACTGCCTCGTGTAACACCCCAAATTTCCATAAACCTTGGAGCGTTACCAAGTAAAAACTCACTTGTCTGTGCATTAGATGCGGGACGATGGAATAAATTTCTTTATAAAAAAATAACTGAAATATTCATAAATTTAATTAAAACATGGAAATTGTATATTTAAAAAAACATAATTGCCTAACTAATTAAATAATATATTTTTGAACAAACTAAACTAATAAATTGAAAACAGAAAGAAAAAAAAAAAAACTTAACATATATTTTTCCTTCGATTCCCTTGGTAGACCGCATCACCATCCTGCCACAATTTCAATCGGCTCAAACCAACCTAGAAATTTTTTGTAAGAGTGAGTATTTAAAAAATATCCAGAAAGATAGGTACAATTTCCATACACAATTATAAAACAGTAAAATAAGCACTACATATCACTCTTCTCTTATGGAGTATATTGGTAATTAAGTTATACACCCATCTTAAGACTTTCTTAAATTCCCAAAAGATTTCATATCTCTTAATAAAGAACACGAAGGTCCACTAACAATTCATGTATAAATTATTGAGTATAAAAGTATAAGGAAATGAACTACTTGCACAAACGTATCTTACCTTGATAGATCAAAATAATTTTTATTTTTATTTTTTGAAATAAATTATGGATGCACGTTCCCAAAACTTTTTCAAATTCTCCGGCTGTAGACGTAAACAATTGCTTTCTACTGTGTATGTATAAATATTTATTCTATGGTATTCTAACGTGTAAGTATATATATATATTCTATGGGGATTACTCTGACTTCTTGCAGTATGTATTTATAGTGGAAAACATTCACAGATTGAGTTGATATGCAATTAAATTATCAGAACTGTGCACCATCACAAATAAAATTGTGATAGACCCAAACCTTTTGAAAAACGCAAGATTCGACCTTACTACACCTAGAGAGGGTGATTAGGTGTAAATGCGTAATTAATACTTAATTAACGTACAACAAGTTACAAGTTAATTATATCTAGGTAATTAGTACAATTAAATTTAACATATCTTGAAATACAGCATTAATGCCAAATCAGTAAATAAAGTAATAAACAACACCGGAATTATTCACGGAGAAACCCAACGTGGGAAAAATTTCGGACACTTTGCCAATCCAAGATCCACTATAAACTGTCAATAAAACTTATAGACTACCAGCAAAGTTGACAACACAAGCTTTCTAATCTCTTGTCTTAAGTATGAAGCAGTCCTCCTGAAATGTACACACCAACACCAATCCTGACTCTTTTTTGTAAAACAGTCCTCTTGGAATAAGCACACGAACTCCAATCCTGACTCTTTACGCATTTTATCTCATGTAGATCTTTCTCAAGAATTTCTCGTTCTTCAAATTCTTCCTTGATCTTCAATTTAGCATAGTTGACGATACAATCTTACAGCACACCCAAGCGAAGAATACAATCCAGTGTTTGATTTGATAGCTTTGATGTTTTCATAATGATAGGCACATGAACAGTGGAATGATTGAACTTTGATTATAGTAAAGCATGTATTCTCCTTGAATAATATGATGTTCAATCTTTCTCACAGAAAATACGACGCTTCAATATATAGGTTGGACGAAATAGGTTATATAAGCCAAATAAAAATTTCGGAAATAGAAAATTAGGTTCCTAGAATAATAGTCGCTCGAGCGAAGGGTCTTTCGCTCGAGAGACAGTGGGGCGAAAGTCGAGCGAGATAGTTTCTGTTTCAATCGCTTGAACATCACTCCAACAAGCAGCTAGAGAAAATCCGGCGTGAATCCTTCTTGTTCCAAACATAAAACCAAAATTTTAGGCTAACCTTCCAACTATGAAACTTTACAATCTAGTCCCTAAACTTTTATAAATGTTCAAGGTGGTCAATTTGTTCACAGAATCGCCAATACAAAATATAAACCTAACACCTTTAGAGTATAATTAAATTAGTATTTAATAACAAAATTTAGGCTAATAATAAAGTTTGAAAAAAAAAAAAACACTTCAACTAAACTAAACTACAAAGCTCCAGTTTGGTGCAATAATAATGGAAGAGTCTTGTACCACTACATTAATTTGATAAGAAAGAGTTGAATTAGTAGATTTGGTTTCAAATAATGGAAATAGGCTTAATATCTATATTACATGGTGCTGCCACAATTCTTAAATCCTAAACTAATTACGATAAATTCTTTGAACTTCAATATCTTGAACTTAATTCATTCGAAATAATTTTTTCTCGAGTTTAAGACTTCTAATTAATTACAAGCTACAAAAAGAGTCTAATACTGATAATAAAGTATCCAGAGCAACTAATCCCGTTCTATGAAATTTTGGGAATTTACACCGTGAGTAAAGTTCAACGAGATGAAGAGCAAGAATTTAGCTTACTAAGCTTTGGGGCTTCTTGGGCATTTTAGGTGCGTGCTCCAGTGAGTAAAGAGGCTACACTGCATTAAATACTGATGCATGCATCATCATTTGAATGAGCGTTGCTCTAATTATAGCGGTTGTTTTATTTCTTTATCGTTATGCCCCATTCACTAGCCCCGCGAGTATAGCGAGTCCGATCCATTTGATTAGTTCATTAACAACCCTTTGTTTTAGGATTTATTCAAATAAATTTTTGGAGCCGTTGTCGGTGAATAAAGTATTTATATTGAATTAATTGATTCGTAATTGCATTTTATCTTTGTTTTGTTATTCAAACATATAATTTGATAGGCTTTAATGGAAG